CAGGCAAGCGCTTATTCTACAGAGCCATCTCCCCAGCCCTAGTTCAGTACATTTCTATTTGTAAAAAATAACAGAAACATTGGTAGATGAGGCATTGGACCAATAAGCCAAGTAAGTGGATTTTCTTTTAGTATATAAAGGCATGTGTTCTGGAATACAAGCTTGAACCTGTCAGTTTTTTGTTGGTGAAAGATGAGAGAAAAATTGCTGTCTTTGAATGAAAACTTAATTTGGGCTGAATATAGTGGTGTGCACCTATAATCCCAACACATGGGAAGGCTGAGGCAGAATCACCATGAGTTTGAGGCCATTCTGGATTGCATAGTGAAACTCTATCTCAAAAAGACCCCCCCAAAAAAACCCCAAAAACCTTAATTTGAGAGTGATGTAAGTTTGTTACTTTTGCCTGGCTCATCATTCATTTAGTTGCTTTTCTTAATGGTAGCATGTCCTTCTTCAGATAATGAAATAACTTCATAATCTTTATAAAATGGTGCTTCCCTAGGACAAAGAGCCATGGAGGTTTTATGTGAAATTCTTTGTAGAATTCAGATTCTTAACTGGTTGCACTGTTTAGATTGTCTGTGTCATGCTAATAATATAATAGTATGCCACTCACAATATTTTCTGTCTCTATCAGAATAAGTGGAAACAGTACTTCTAAGAGATCATATTGCCAGGAATATAGCTCAGTGGCACAGCGCCCACCTGGCAAGTGCAAGGTCCCGAGTTAAATTCCTGGTACTAAAAAAAAAAAAAAAAAAAAAAAGTTCACATTGGCAGTATAGTTAGGAGTCCTAATCACACTTTGTTCAGATTTACTCCACACCTGAGAGCTGAATAAGACAGTTTATAAAAGTTTTATGTTCTACAGTGGTATTTTTACTTACTTGAATTTTTAAAGTTGGTGTTATTACTATTAACAGGATTCACAGCTGCATTATTTGAGTTGTACAAAAACAACTTTTTATCTGAGACACAGGGAACAGTTTAAACTTAAAACTAAGTGAGGGCTGGTGTTCAGCTCACCGAATCAAAAAGTACAAGGACCATGTCTAGCATATGTCTAATGTTATGCTTGCCACCCAGTAGGCACTCAGTATTTGCTGAACAAGTAAATTAACATTTCCATATATTAACATGTACTTTTGTACAGAAGTACATCAGATTTATGCTTCAGTCATCATAACTAATTTTATTAAATACAGCAATAAAAATATTACAGACTGAATCAAGAGGGTACATATAGGTTGTAGACTTCTCCTTCCCAGTATCTAGTGCTGACAGTGAGTAGAATAGGAAATGGGTACGAGCAAGATTCAGAAAACCTGTAATTGAGTTACATATTTTTAATCATGAAGTGCGTTTGGCTCCAGGATCACAGGAATGTGAAAAGATAGGGAAGAGAATCTGTTATTGGGAATGAGTCAGCATTTTGGAGGGCAAAAATGTTGTAAACCAGGAACAGTTTTACAAATGTAATGAGAGGAGTTACCGCTGGATAACACTGCCCTAAAATAGTTTAAAAGGGAAGGACTGGTTACATTTGTTTTAAAATAGTAATAGGCTTTCAGACAACTTTGTCAGAGTTTTAGGCCCTGACTTGCTAATGGCTCAGACGTCCACTGCAAGGACTGAAACACAATCTGAAGACTAATAAAAATATTGTGAAATGTCTGAAGTGCCTAATGTACAGTAAAGCTTGTGAATGTTTAATAGGCATAGAGAATGGAAACATCTACCCTTAGGGTAGCCTTTTCCAGGAAGTTTAAGGAGTCATGTGAAGCTCAATGGCAGAATGGTCAAAGATTAAAAATTCTAGCCAATGAAATTACTAGACATTAGTACTTTTTTTTTAAAGTTCAGAAGAAATACCAATCTGTATGGTGTGCAGTTTGAAAAAATGTATCATTCTTTATAATAGGCTTACCATGTCACCAGGCTAACATGTTTGCTAATCAGTTAAATTATAAGCTGCTCAATGATAGATTTATGCTAAAGAAATTTTTACTAGAAAACTTAAAAAACCTTTTTTAAGTCTTCAAAAATAATGTGCTTTCCTCTACAAATTTCTTCTGGTCCCATCTTGCCCATTATCCTAGTTAACCAAGCATCTGAACGTTTACCATACGTGCATGACGTTAGAGCAGCTTTATTTTGGTTGAGGTGGTCTCACTGTGTACCTCATAGTAACTTCTATCTTGTGGCCATTCTTCTGCCTCAGCCTCCCAAATGCAGGTATGTATCATACCTGGCAAATTTATCACTCTTTTTCAAGTAGAATTGGTGCTCTGAGAAAAGTTAAATTTGTAACTATTGATTCAGTGTCTTAAGTCATCTTAAATATGTACAAACTTTTCATCACATTAAAAAGAATTCAGGGAACCACATTTAACAAAATAATTGTAATGTTTTCATAAGACCATTCTTACAGGAAACTGGCCTTTTTTATTTTTGGACTTTATACTACAAATGTGTTGCAATGAAAATGACTAGCTTGATGCTACTTCTTTAATTTGTACTAAGGTGTCTGCATTTTCACCCACTTGCTTTTTCATAACCACTACAAATGTCAACATGTAATTGTTCAGGGCACATTGGAAGATTAAAAAGTCATTCCACATTTTGGCAATTTCAAGACTTGTGTTTATTGTCAAATATTTACATAGAGTATCTTTGATTGTTGATACCCAGAAAATATAAGCAACAGTACAGTAACAAGTCAAACCATGCTTTTTTATCTTATTTTATTTTATACTTATATTCATCCATTTGTAAGGTGTAATACACGATTTCATCTCTGCACATAAATCATCAACTTGATGAGTTACTCTAATATTCAGAGGAGGAACTACTTTATTTCTTGCTTTCATCTGACATTTCAGCAATATGATCTGTATGGAATTTTAGTTTCTTAGCTATCATCTGTTTCTCCTACTAATACAATGCAATGATTTACCCTTTAAAATGCTTACAAAGTTTATCATTTCTAGTTTTAAACCTTTTTTCTTCTAAAGAGCATCATCTACATTTAAAATATTCAGTATTTTTTTTTTTTAAAAAAAACAGCTACAGATACTGGTTTCAAAATGACTTCACAACACAAGTTGCACCAATTCTATTCAAAATATTCTATGGCATAAGACATGCTATTTTAAAGTATCTCTAAATCCAAACAAAACTCATTTGTTTTCTTTAGTCAGTTCTTCCAAGCTGGGGAGATGGCTCAGTAGAATAAGTGCTTGCCTGGTAAGCACAAGGTTCTGAGTTCAAATCCCCAGTTCCACCAAAAAAAAGAGACCAAGTAAATCTTGGATAGTGTTCTTAAAGATGATGTAAGCTGTGGCTTAAACAAAAATTGTTTTTGTTTTTCAAGCCAATAAACTATTCTTACGTTTATTTTAAAATAAAGTTTTAAAACTCTATAGTGTTATACTTTCAATGTCTGGAAATTTAGAAAAATATTAACACATATAAGAACAAAATGTACCACTTTGTTTGTGCTTAAGCCCAAAGAAAACTACAAAATATTCAGAATAACTACATGACATCCAGGTACCATAGATAGAATCTAAAAGGTGAGTTTCTAAGAACACATTCATATCTAAACCTACCTGCCACCTTGGAAATTCATTAACATCAGTGCCAGTTTCATTACACATTATGTATCCTCTGCATACTTTTGAGAATGAGTAAAGAGTCAAATTACTGGACCATGGAGATAGCTCAGTAGAATAAGGGCTTCCCTGGCAAGTGCAGGGGCCTGAGTTCAATCCCAATTTCCACCAAAAAAAAAAAAAAAAAAAATTACTTAGTAAATACTAAGTGAGCATGCTGGCAAACACCTAAATCCCAGCACTCAGGAGGCAGGAGCAGGATGACTGTGGAGAGTTCAAGGCCACCCTGGGCTATATAACATGACCTTATTACCTCCCACCCACCCACAAAAAACAAGTTTTGATTGCAGACTTCATTGTGCTGCCCTCAAGGAATAAGGCAGTTTAGTTAAAAAAAAAAAAAAAAAAAAAAAAAAAAAAAAAAAAAAAAAAAAAAAACTATTAGTATCAATTATAAGAGGAGCTATGAGAGCATGGTGGGGGCAAGGATTTCAGATAAGGCTCTTCTCAGTTATTTCATGGGTTATCAAACACAACTTTCTATTATGACTGTTATTACCTACACCATATCACTTAATTTTGTTAAAGCTCAAGCCAGGGTCCAGTGGTGCATACCTGTAATCCATGCACTTGGGAGCCTGAGGCAAGATGGCAAAGTTGAGCATCACCTGAGCAACTTGGTTGGAGCTGTCACAAAAAGGGCTGGGACTGTAACTGTGAAGACCCTGGGTTCAACATGGGGGTAAAGAGGCTCATTAAAATGGTCTCTACTTCTAAATTTCACCGTCCCAACTATAAGGTTTTTCCTTTGGCACAAAAGAAAGACAAGACAAAGAGGCCTTTATTGCTTAGCATGGGAAGGCTGTTTGAAGAGAAGAAAAGAAACCCTCTAACTAGAGCCAAAGAAAGCTTATTAGCTTTGGCTGGGGTGGAGCTTGGAATAGAGCAGAATGAAATCTTGGGAGCTGATTGGGGTGAATAGGATGAGGTCTCAGCTGCCAATTGGGACAGGCATGAAAAAGGAAGCCTAAACTGCATTGAGGGAAGAAGGCATCCCATATACCACCCAAGGGTGGGAAGATTAAGATTAAGATTAATTTGAGGAAATATATTGAATGCACTGGAGTAGATATGCCATCTGGCAAGGAGTTTTGAGACAGATTAGATAGGTAAGGTTGGCTGGCCAGTGGTGAGGATTATGGATAGAGGAGGCCCATTATGGTCAGGTTAGGTGAGAGGCGTTCCAGGGTGTAGAAGCAGCCACGTAAAGATCCTGCCTGTATGAAACACAAGCAATACTATGAGGTTAGCAGAGTGTGAATATGTACGCATGTGAAAGGAGGGGGCAATGGGAGGATGATCAGTAAATTGATATGTAGTTCTAAGGTGGTCACTGAGGTGTCAAGGATGGGAGGTGGGGCTATCAATTGTAAGGTAATTGCCTTCAGGCATCTGCAAAAGATGTGCGAGAAAACGCCAGGTTTTCCTCATGAGGTACGAGGGTGAGACATTCCTTTTTTTGGTATTTTTGCATTTTTTTAGGACAAGGTCTGTGTAGATCACTCTTAGTGATCCTCCTGTTTATAGCCTCCCAGGTGCTGAGGGTACAGGCACTCGCCACTACACCCAGTCTCATTGGCAGTCAGCATGCCCTAGGGGCAGGGCTGGAGACAGTTGAGGGTGAGACACATTCCAAATGGTCAGTTTTGTATTTCCTTTACCCTTTAACCAGGCCAAGATAATATGGATCTGATTGTTCCCAGGCCTTTCCACTCTCATCTGTACTTATGGTTTTGTAACCCCAGGTGTCAAAATAGAACCCATAGGTATTGATACATCTTCAGTGACAAAGCATGGGGGACAGGGTGTTACGTGAAAACCATCAACGTGACAGTACAGGATAATCACAGAAGCAGTCTTCCATCGGCACTGTGGTTTGGTTTGTATGGGCTAAAATGACAATAGGGAATAATGAATTAAAGAGTGGACTCAGAAGGGATAAAGTTGGCTGAGATGATTGCGTTTTCTATAACCCTTTCATCCACTAAAGTAAGACCAAGGTGTAGCTGGCGCTTAAAACTGGTGCTGGAGAGTGCTGGAAGCCAGAAGAGTTTAAGACCTAAAAGGTGAATCATGTCCATGAGTCAAAAGGGATTGGAATATAGAAGTTTTATAACAGGCAGTTGAGAGTAAGATACTATAAAGTACAGAAATATAAAACTTAATTTGTGTGGCACCTGAAAGTTGCTTAGACAGATGGTCCAAAGTCCAACAGTAAGCGAAAAGAGACAGGAGATATGGGATTAGAAATCAGACAGGAAAACAAATCATGAATTTACCCTGGAGTTTTAGAGCCTTTTCCAAGGCAGAAACAAGTAGGTGACAAGAGTTGTGAGGACCACTTTGGTAGCAAGAGCTCAAGGTCAAGAGAACTGGAGTTATCTGGACACCTTTTGGCTTGTATAATATGAAAACAGAGAGGGAGGCTGGAAACTTTGACTGCTGTGAATGTCATGATGACCAGATGGAGTCCTGTCCACGTAATTCTAATCTTATAAGCCTAGAGGATTTTTTAAGTCTCCAGGAACTATAGAAGGCACTGATTGGGGTGGCACCTATTGGTTGTGGAAGAAGTCAACATGTTGCAGCAGGTATCGAAGACAGAACTGGGATAGCAATGGGAGGAAAGCTATCAGATGTTAGGAAATTTAGGAAAGCGGGTGCCCCAGGAAGTACCCCGAGTCTAATTAAAGCTAAGGAGCTGAGGCTAAGGCAGGTGCAGTTCCAGGATAAGTTTAGTGAGATGGACTTTTAAAAGCTCATTTGCCTTTTACACTTTATCTGAGGACTGTGGGTGATATATGTGTAAGCATCAAGTAACATTAAGACTTGAGGCCACCTGTTGAGTAACTTGGGAGACAAATGCTGGACCAATATCTGGTACAGGGCAGTCCAAATGTGGGAATAATGTCCTGTATGAGAACCTTAGAAACTCTGTCTATGTCTATGGTTTCATAAGCAGTGGGAAATGCCTCTATCCATCCTGTAAGTGCTCACAAAGGAGGTTATTTGTGAGTCTTATGATGAACCACATGTGTAAAACTTATCTACCAATCTTCGCCTGGAGTGTG